CAGCTGAGCATCCTTTTGGCTTTGGCCCAACCACTTCATTAGCTCTGGAGCTACTTGTACTTGTTCTCCGTTGTTCCTCAGTAGCATGTTGGACGCCTTCCGACCTGAAGGGGCTCATCTTCCAGCGTCAAATCTTTTAGCCTTTTTTTCTGTTCATGAGTTTTTCTTGGCAGGTACTGGAGTGGCTTCAGTTCCTGCTCCAGGTGGATCGCATTTAGTCATAACTCTCCACTATGACCTGTCCGTCTTGTGTGTATAGCCCATAGCTTCTCTGAATTACTCAAGCCCCTTCACCACAACAAGGCAGTAATCCATGAAGAGGATTAATTGTACTGGTAACATCCTAAATAAAAAAATAATTTTTGTTAAAATCTTTATTTTCATCAGGGCAATCCTTCAAGAAAGTTTCAAACTGGAATATTCTTGTAATTTCTTTTAGATACCCCTTTTTAGTTTATTAGAATTATGTTCCTTTATTTTCTGAATCTCCTTTAATAAACCTAAATAATAAACCTAAATATTTAACAGATTTATATATCCTAATGTCATATTTATCAGCAAACGTTTCTTGTTCTAATTTATTATGATTAAACATTATTTCAGATTTTTGCCAATTTACACATAATCCAGTTGTTTTTTCATATTTTTCTAAATGATTTTTTAACTCTATCTATGCTTTCTTATGGGTTTTTAACTATCAAAAGGGAATCATCAGCAAATAAGTTAATTTTTAACTTTTAAATAACCTTAAGAACACGGCCAAACAGCCCGGATTAGGATTAGGATTCGTTTTAGTCTAGTTGCTAATATAATTGTATTTATTTTATAGTCTACATTGAACAATGAGATGAGTCTGTTATTTTTAATTTCTTTGCTATCTGTGTTTTCTTTACATATAAGAGAGATAGTTGCTTCAGACAACGTTGATGGTATTTCTCCCTTTTCTTCTATGAATTCCAGATGTTTCTTATATGAATTAAGCAATACATCTTCCAATTTTTTGTACTATTCACTGGAATTCCACCTGGACCTGGCAATTTTTCTTTTTCTTTCACTTTTTAACAGCTTCTACTTAAATATTTCTTTAAATGACCCCCTTTTATAATCACAAAGTAACTTTCAATTCCTCCTGGCATATTTTCATTGAAAAGCATTCTAATGGAATAAGGAAGTCACATGAAACTACACTTTCCAGAATAGAATTGTACCCAAATAATTAAGGGAGGGCTGTAAATCTGCCTCTACCAATTGAAATTGGAGGAGGGAAAAATTCATAGACTTGGACTTTAATATAGTTTTTTGGGGGTATAGAAATTATCCTCCCTTCATGACTTCTCTCCCCAGAAGGTCCCTCAGTGAGGTGCCCTTCTCACCTCAAGCCCAAAGGAATACCCTCCAATCCGGCCTCATCCCCTACCTGATTCTCTTTCTTCACCTTCTTGCCTTTCTTTCCTTCCTACTCCATGACTCAGACGGGGCCTGAACATGTCATTCCTTATTTCTGCAGATTTTGGAAGTGTTTGTTTCTCTTCTTTTTCTAACCTACCAGATGATGAACAGGGGAAGACGAATTACTCAGCGACACCTGGGGCATCCTGGGCAGGAACTCATAATCAAGCAAGAAAACAGAGAATTGAAAATCAAAGTGGGCAGGAATGGTCATCATGTGAAAGACCTCACGCAGCGGAGAAACCATATAAATGCATGTAACCTCATTAGACGTCATACAACTCACAAAAGGAAGAAACTGTATCCATGTAAGGAATGTGGAAAGAGCTTCAATCAGAATGATACCCTTAGGTCACATGAAAGAACACACACTGGGGAGAAATCATATAAATGCATGGAATGTGGAAAGAGCTTCAGTCAGAGCAATAGCCTCAACATACATCAAAGAACTCACACTGGGGAGAAACCGTATCCATGTATGGAATGTGGAAAGAGCTTTAGTCAGAGTGGTCACCTTAGGTCCCATCAAAGAATCCACACAGGTGAGAAACCATATAAATGCATAGAATGTGGAAAGAGCTTCAGTCACAATAGACTTAGGTCACATCAAAGAATTCACACTGGGGAGAAACCATATAAATGCATGGAATGTGGGAAGACCTTTAGTCAGAGTGGTTACCTTAGGTCGCATCAAATAACCCACACAGCTGAGAAACCATATACATGCATAGAATGTGGAAAGAGCTTCAGTCACGACAATAGACTTAGGTCACATCAAAAAATTCACACTGGGGAGAAACTGTATCCATGTATGATTTGTGGGAAGAACTTTAATCAGAGTGGTCACCTTAGGTCACATAAAATAACACATACAGCTGAGAAACCATATAAATGCATAGAATGTGGAAAGAGCTTCAGTCACAACAATAAACTTAGGTCACATCAAAGAATTCACACTGGGGAGAAGCCATATAAGTGCATGGAATGTGGGAAGACCTTTAGTCAGAGTGGTTACCTTAAGTCACATCAAATAACCCACACAGGTGAAAAACCATATAAATGCGTAGAATGTGGAAAGAGCTTCAGTCACAACCATTATCTCAATATACATCAAAGAACACACACTGGGGTGAAACCATATCCATGTATGGAATGCGGAAAGAACTTTAGTCAGAGTGGTCACCTTAGGTCCCATCAAAGAACCCACACAGGTGAGAAACCATATAAATGCATAGAATGTGGAAAGAGGTTCCGTGACAACAATAACCTCAGTATACATCAAAGAACTCACACTGGAGTGAAACCATATAAATGCATGGAATGTGGAAAGGGCTTTAGTCAGAGTGGTCACCTTAGGGCACATCAAATAGCCCACACAGGTAAGAAACCATATAAATGCCTAGAATGTGAAAAGAGCTTCAGTCAGAACCATGACCTCAGTATACATCAAAGAACTCATACTGGGAAAAAACCATATCCATGTTTGGAATGTGGGAAGAGCTTTAGTCAGAGTGGTAGTGGTGCCCTAAGGTTGCATCAAAGTACTCACACTGGGGAGAAACCACATAGATGCATGGAATGTGGGAAGAGCTTTAGTCAAAGTGGTTACCTTAGCTCACATCAAATAACCCACACAGGGGAGAAACCATATAAATGCATTGAATGTGGGAAGACCTTTAGTCAGAGTAGTTACTTTAGGTCACATCAAAGAACCCACACAGGTGAGAAACCTTATAAATGCATGGAATGTGGGAAGAGTTTTAGTCATAGTGGTTCCCTTAGGTCACATCAAAGAACCCACACAGGTTAGAAACCTATAAATGCCTAGAATGTGGAAAGAGCTTCAGTCACATCCATGACCTCAGTATCCATCAAAGGACTCACACTGGGGAGAAACCATATAAATGCATGGAATGTGGGAAGACCTTTAGTCAGAGTGGTTACCTTAAGTCACATCAAATAACCCACACAGGTGAAAAACCATATAAATGCGTAGAATGTGGAAAGAGCTTCAGTCACAACCATTATCTCAATATACATCAAAGAACACACACTGGGGTGAAACCATATCCATGTATGGAATGCGGAAAGAACTTTAGTCAGAGTGGTCACCTTAGGTCACATCAAAGAAC